TACAAAATCTACAGTAGCAGCAGCCTTGAAGTGGATTATCCCTCACCCTGAATACATTTTCTGTCATTACTGCAGAAGAAGCTCACGTGTGTAGAGGGAGAGAAGGCCAGTCTGTCTGCTCACATTGATTCCCTGAAGGGAGAACTCCTCAACAAGTGCACAGATCTGGAGGAGAAGGCGCATCAGTACAAGGAGCTTCAGTCTCAGTTCTCTGAGGCTGGACAGAAACACGCTAAAGACTTGGAGAACATAGGAGTGCAGGTGGCTCAGCTTGAAGCACAGGTGACTTCTAGTTATTTATTTTTTATAGTCTTTAAAATATTTATTTGAATTTCATTAGCAACCATTATTGGAATAAATCATGGACAAACATCCGACCCCTAATGAAAGCTGCTTCTTAGGCCCCATTTTTACGAGAAATGCTCTATAGGAAAGTGACATTTTGAAAGTGGTAATACAAAAATATAGCGTATCTCTCTCTTCTGTAATCCACTGATGTGCTAAGCATTGCCGAGTTGCACCGTACTTCATATTTTCGTTCTGGTAACAACACAGCAAACCCATAAAGTTTTTTTATTAGTTTTTCTAATAAAAAAAAAACTTTCTAATTATTAGTAATTCTAATAACTGTACTCGATATAAAGGAGTACATAAACTAGTGAAATCCATTGTCAGCACTTGCTGAATCTCTCTTTCTTAATACGATTTCATTTTTTTAACAACTTAACTAGGTCAAAGATCTGGAGTTGCGTTTGCAGAAGGAAATCACTCGAGCCGAACTCGCTGAGAGGATGAACACTGACCTGCAGGATGAGCACAAGGCAACCTGTGATCTGGTCCGCTCCAAAGAGCAGCTGGTAGAGCTGGGGAGGGCTGAGATCAGCCAGCTGAGGGAAAGCCTTGCTCAGACAATTGCACAGCAGGAGGAGCAAAATGCCAGGTGGGAGTTTTTCGTGCAATATTGTTAAAAACTATGATAATTGAAATAAGGTAGAGCTGTGGAATGACACATTATGTCCTGTCCTAGTTTTGGTATAAGATAGAAGAAAACACTGTGAGAAAGACAGCAATGTACGTTGTGGCATATTAACTTTCCAACACTGTTTTTAGAAGCAAGTTGCATGAAGACATGAAAACACTGTTTGACTCATACCTTCCATCTGCTCAGTTGTGATATGTACCATGCTACAGGTGGTCAGAGTGCAAAACACTGAGTCAGAGCTGCTTTTCTGGACAAGCTGTGTTGACACCATCTACCTGCATTTTTTTCAGCATTATGTCCTGAATCAACAACAAATAAATGTTCTTTATATATATATATATTCATTAACGCCCATTCCATATGGAATGTCCAGTAACTGCTGACAATATCAGCTGAGCTTTGGTTTTAATGTCTATTCTCTGTCTTTGATTTGTAATTTCACTTAGGTTAGCAGAGGAGAAGGCAGACCTCCTAAAGCAGTGTGAAGAACGTGTTTCAGCAAAGGCTGAGGAGACTGAGCACATCAAGCTGCAGTTAGAGGAGGCCCAGCAGGAGCTGCTGCTCACCAAAAACCAGGTCTGCTTTACTTAAACTGCAGTGGAAGCTTTTTTTAAGAGACTTCTATTTATTCTCAAACTTTTACTTTAATAAGTGAATAAAGTTGGGAAACTGAAAAGTGCAGGAGAATTAAACAGGAAAATAAGACTTCTCTAGAGTAAAATCTGACCTGTGCTAGTCTGCCTTTGGTTGCTTTTTGGGTTATTTTTATCTTGTCACTTTGGAAAGGACACTTTGCCATATCAACAGGCCTGAACTCAAACCACCGTCCAACTGGTGTCTGTATCCACTGTATGGACAGGAAGTAGTTGTGTGAAATCCAGTTATGAGGCTTTAGGTGATGCTATGATATATTTCTGCATATATTAAGATATTAAGTAGTTTTTGCTTTCCTACATTTAGTAGTACATTTAATCACAATAAAAACTGTTTGCTGAGCATTTGGTGTAATTGTGTTGTTACTGCTTTTTTAAATTAATTGTCCTCCTCTTCTTCTTCCTCTTAGATCAGTTCCTTAGAGCAGTTCCTGAAGGTCCAGGAGCAACTGGGAGCAGAGCTGCAGAAACAAATTAAGACAATGACAGAGCAGGAAGAGGAACAAATTCGGATGTACAACAAAAAATCAGAAGAACTCAAACAATTGGAAATGGACCTCAGTGATCAGTGGAAACAAACAGAGGAGAAGGAGAAGCAGCTCAGAGAAGCTGAAGTTCAGATATCGTCTGTGGAGAAACAAAAAGCCGAGCTGGAAAATGCAATTCAAGAGTTGAAGAAAGAATCAGAGGTAAAATCTAAAAATCTTTGCTTTGTTGTCTGGTTAGTTATGGATATTTTAATTATGTTCATATTTAATTTATTTACTTGCCTATTTTTTCTTACCAAATATAAATGAAACCTTCTTTTTAATTAAGATCATTCAGCACAGTCAGACCGAGAAGATCCACAGCCTCCTGGAGCAGATTTCATCCTTAGAAGAAAAGGTCGATGTGAACAAAGATGCAGCGGAGAAGCTTCCTGTCTTGAAGAATGAACTGGATGTAGCCACTCAGTCCAACTCTGACCTTAAGAAGTCACTACAAGCTCTTGAGAAGAATCACTCCTCCACTATAGAAATTAAGTCTAACCTGGAGAGCACTCTGGTTGAGAAGATGAATCTTATCTCTGCTTTGGAGAATGAAGTAAAAGATCTCATAGAGAAGATGGGTAAAGAGTCAGAGCGTCACGCTTTGGAGATTGAAAACTTCCTCAAAAAAGAGAAGAGCCTTGACGAACAGCTCGAAGCCACAAAGAAATCAGTCAGTGCTGCCAAAGCAGAGTCGAGTTCACGTCGGGAGGAGATCCGGACCATGAAGGCGACTCTGTCTGCAGCGTCACGCGGCTTGGAAGAGAGAGACAGCACCATAAAAGATCTGAAGGAAAAGCTGAATAAAGCTGAGGCAGAACAGACCAAAGCCTCAGAACTCCTGAAGGAGAAGGTGGTCGCCATGAATAAAATCAAGGTTGGTGCCAAATGTGTTCCTGTTTATGTTCTTGTTTATTACAATATTCTTAGACACAAAGAAAGTGTACTGTTGGATAGTGTAGCAAATCTTTTAGTTGCATGTTCTGAATTATTAATTATCCCCCTTCAAACAATTAAGGTTCAGCTAGAGATGCTCCAGATGGACTTGGAGGACAACGAGACAGCCATGACCTCCTTTGACAGTCAGGTGGAGCAGCTTAAAGGAACTATTGAGTCACTGGAGGCCATGCTTGCTCAGAGCCAGACCCAGATGTCTGAAATGGAGGCCATGCTGGATGAGGGCAGAGCCCAGGTTGGATAATTGTTCTTCTCAAAAGTGCTTCACTCACACACAGTGTTTGCTGATTCGCTGTTGTCTTCTGTCTTTGTCATCAGCATGCTTTCACTAATCAGTGGCTCTATTTTCAGGTCTCTGTCTTGGAAGCCCGCTTAGATGAGGTCCAGTCGCAGAACTCTCTCTTGGAGTCAAAGTATGTCACAGCTAAGGAGGAGTTATTTGAGAGAACCTGTGAAATAACTCGTCTGGAAGAGGAAGCTATCCGACGTCACGAACTGGAAGAGAGTGTTGCTACATTAGAGGCTAAACTCAGTCAGACGACACAAGACAACGAAAAGCTGGAGACAACTCTCAGGGAAACCATTCAGGACAAAGAGAGCAGTCTAAATCAGCTTCTCCAGGAGAAGAACAACCTCGAGACTTCTCTGAAACAGCTTATGAACGACAAAGAGCAAGTCGAAGGTGAAATGGTGCACGTAAATGCAGAAAAGAAACTGCTTGAAGTCACTGTAGACGCACTGTCTGAGGAGAACAAACAACTGCAGTCTAATATTGAACAGGTAACTGAGGAAAAGCAGCAAACAGAAGCCAAGATTAATGAAATAACTGCTCGGAAACATGAGGCTGAATCTGCCCTTAGTCAGCTCACTGAAGCAAAAGCCCAGTTAGATGATATCCTGAAAAAGACGAACGAAGAAAACGTTCAACTTGCAGATGAACTACATGCATTAACTTCTGAGAAAAATGACCTGGTTACTAAATTGAATCAAGTAGTAGAGGAAAAGGTTCAGCTGGAATTGAGCTATAATCAACTCTCTGAAGAAAACATCAAACTACAGTCTAATGTGAATCAAATAACTGAGGAGAAGCTGCAGTTACAGGAACTCATAAAGGGCCATGGAGATGGAGTTGCTTCTCTCAGAGAGGAGAACGAGTGCATCCAGCACTCCCTGCTGACCTCAGAACAGGAGCGCCAGAGACTGAAGGAGCAGCTTGAGCTGATGGAGGAGAGGACTGAGGCGACGAATAAAGAGCAGTATGTCTATATGGCTGTGTCTGCTTTGAAGTTTGTATTAGCTTTTGAACTGTTTGCTCTGCTATCTATATGATGGCTGAAATCACAGTGTGTTTTATTTTGTGTCACAGGAGCGAGCGGTTTACAGCAGAGCAGGCTGAACTGCACCAGAAGCTGGCGGGCTTGCAGAAGGAGCTGACTGTGTTTAAGCAACAGTATGAATCACTGCTGGAACAAGTGGGCCAGCAGCACAGCCTCATTCAGCAGCTGTCAGAATTCAAGAGCCCAGCAGACAGAAACAACATGGAGGAGGCAGAAACTGATGGTGAGTGAGGAAATGTTTTTTTTTTTCTTTCATAAAAAACAGATTTCCACTTTTCTTGAGTACATATATTTGTATTTATCTGTTTAGTTTACCCAGCTGAAGCAGCAGCCGAGAGTCAGGTAGAACCAGCAGTTAATTCAAGCCTCTGCACCAGTTCGGAGTCCCTTCCAGTAGAGGAGGAACTTATGGTGTCTGAACTGACTGAATTTGCTGATGCTTTCAGGTGCAGTGAGTTTTATGCCGCCTTCTGTTTTGTGTTGACTGTTTGTATGCAATGAAAAACAAAGCTAACCTCCCCTCTGTCATGTTAGCGAGGCCAAGCTGGTCTTTAAGGTGGATGCCACCGAGCAGGAGGTGACGCAGGAACAGTCAGAGGAGGACGGGGAGGCGTTTGTAGCAGATGTAGAGGAAACAAAGACGAATGAGGAGGCGGAGCTACTTCCTGAACAGGTTAAAACCACTGTAATAGTCACTGTAATAACCAAGTTATTACAATGACTTTTCCTTCAGTCGCGCATGTTGCATCATTAGTATTTGCCTGGGGATTCTTTGTTAATATGTTGTATTCGTTGTCTGTTGTATATTCAGATTGTTAGGAAAATTGTTAATTTCTTTGGGAATACACGAGGTTCATAATGGAGCGATGTTTTCATTATTTTTATTTATTTTGTACAGGTTTCTGAAGAAAGCTCCAACTCCAGAGATGTTCTTGTAGATGAGCCTGTAATCTATGACGTGTCTCCACAACCTTCCTCCTTCAGTGAGAAAAGAGACACGAAATCGTTTGGTGAGTAAATCAAATATCTAAAACCTGTTTTGTTTATTTATTATTTATTGTTTTGCATTGAGTTCATACTTCGTTTAGGTTTGTCCTTATTTGAATGCATTTTTCTTTTGTTTATGGAATAAAAGTAACAAATGCTTATTCAGCTTAGGCTGAATATAAATATTCAAATGGCATTCAGACACATCTGTCCATCAACAGAGTCATCCCTGGTAAATGATGAACTCGAACGTTACAAGGAAATGATCAGAAAACAAGAAAAGGAACTTGAGACTCTGCGCTCAGAGTTTGACCTGCTGAGCTCTGACCTGGAACTGAGAAAGGAGCTGACCTCTGAACTGGAAGTCCAGGTTCAAAACCTGGAGCAGAAAGTTCATGCTGCAGAGGAAGAAGCCCACAGTGCATCCTGTCAGCTGAAAATTGCTTTGGATTCAAAGAAAAATCTTTCTCATGAGGTAGGATGAAGATTTGTCAAATAATGGAACCAGTTTTTTGTGTTTCTTTTATGTTAATACCATGTGCTCATATTTAGCTGACCCAGCTGTCCGAGGAGAAGGAAACTTTAACTCTACAGCTACAAACCACTAAGTTCCAGCTGACTGATGTTATGGAGATGCTGGAAGGACTTGAGATGGCCAAAGGTTTCTTTTTCCCTTACTTTATATTAGAAAAATCACCACAACTCTCAGAAGTAAAGATACCCCTGAGAGTTTCCATTTAAGGTCCTGCTATTAGATTAAAGGTTGTTTTTGCTTGGTTCTGTAGGTGGATGGGATGAGAAGTTTCTTCAGCAAGAGAGCGAGCTTAAGAGGGTTCGCTCGGAGAAAGCTAACCTGGAACAGCACATCCTGGGAATGGAGTCTGAACTGGAGACTATGCAGGCTGAGGGGGCCAGGCTGAAGGGTGAGATGGAGACTCAGAGGAGGACTTTTTCAGGCATGGAGCAAAAGATAGAAACACTCATTACTGAGGTGAGCAAAGCCTGCAAGCTAAAACAACACAATACTGTGTATTTAAAGGCCAAATTTATGTGAACCTTTTGGGGACCAAAAAAATAAAATAAGCTAAAACAGAATTTGCTCTCAAATCCCCTTCAGTTTCCCCTTGTGCAGAAATGTAGACCAAAGCTTTGGTCTATGTTCTGTTGTAACCTTGTTGTCTTCTGTTGTTGTAAGCTTGCAGAATACCCAAAGGTACTTATAAATCTTATATTTTTTCAGACAACTCAGCTGAGATCTGAACTGGTGTCTTGCACTGAAGAGCGAGATGAGTTGAGCCAATCCTTGAGCCAGTGGAGGGAGAAAGTTCACAGTCTGGAGAAAAATAATTGTGACACAAGAAACCTCATTTCCATCCTGGAGGATGACATCAGAGCAGGAAGGAAGGAGTATGAAGCCCTGCAAAGCAGCACAAACAAACTGAAGACAGAGAGGCAACAGGTACACATGGAAATTTCCACAGAAGGGGAGACTGGTTAGACATGGTTACGCCCCAGTTACGACTTTTGACTTATATGGATGCATCTAACAGTGACAAGACTTGTTTTAGCCAGCTGAATCAGATCAAAGCAATGATCACCTAATCCTCTTCTGTAGTTTTGAATAGATTCTCAGGTCTGATTTATGCTAGATCCTTATGAAACTTACGATAAGTTAAATTACTTTTCTTTTAAACAGATTATTTATGTTTGGGGGGTGTTGTTTGTTGTGTTTTTTGTTTTTTCCTACTAAAACTTCATCTATTTTCCTTCACATGAAGCTGGTGGAGCAAGTTAAAGAGCTAGAGCAGACAATCTCCCAGCACTGTGGAGAAAGAGAGGAGCTGATAGGCCATCTTAACCAGATAAAGGAGGACCACAGTTCCTCCAATCAAAACACAGAGTCCATGGCTGGAAAGATAAAGGTGAGGAGGAAGTGTATTATGAAGTATGTCCCTGTATGTGGGAAGAGGAGTCAAAAGCATTTGGTCATAACTCCACTTGTTTTTTCCCCTCCTGATTCCCACCTCAGGCTTTAGAGGGAGAAGTGTTTCGCCTTTCTCAGTCTTTAGAGTCGTCTTTATTAGAGAAAGGAGAGATTGCCTCTCGCCTGAATTCCACCCAAGATGAGGTCCAGCAGATGAGAACTGGTATCGAAAAACTCCAAGTCCGCATTGAGTCGGATGAGAGGAAGAAAAAGAAGATGGGAGAGCTCCTTAAAGGTGACTCTTAACACTTTTGTTCCTGATGGAAAGAAAAGTGTAAATTATATAACCTCCACAGTTTTGTTATGTTTTGGTCTAAATGTGACTGTATCCTTGCAGCCGCCCAGAGAAAGTCTGACTCACTGCAAGATCGCATTGATTCCCTGGAGCGAGAGAAGGAAGATGTAGAGCAAAGTTTAGAAGAAGCAGTGCTGCAGGTATTTAGTCTCACAAACAGTCAACAAAAAAACAAAAGATTATATCTTACTAATGCTGACTTACATCCGATTCTGCTGCGCTTTCCTGCAGGCGGAAACGGCTAAAGCTGAGCTGGAGGAGGAAAGGAGAATGGTAACCTTGTATTAAGACTTTTTCCCTCTATCTGTGATGATTTTCTCTTCTAATTATAAAATGTGACTGCAATCCAAACAGACTGTTAATCTGCTTCTCCTGCCTTTGTCTTTCTTGCTTCAGGTGGAGGAAGAGAAAAAAGAGCTTAGTGCGAAAATCTCAGAGCTCTCTACCACTCTGGAAAGTTTGAGATCTGAGAAAGAACACATGGAGAGACAGCTGGAAATAAAAAACAGAGAAATCGAGGAACTGAAGGCAGCTAAGGAGGAGCTGGAGAGAGGACTGGAGAAGGCAGAGGCAGAAAGAAAGGAGGAAGAGGAAAGACAGAAATGCAGATTAGAAGAACTGGAGAAAGAGATGAAAGGGGAAGCAGAGAGACAGATTAGAGTGCTGGATGACCTTCAAGCACAGCTGGAAGCCTCTCGGCAAAGAGAAATTTCACTTGAACAAAAGGGCACAGAAGGGGAAGCAGAGAAAGAGAGGATGCAGGCTCTCCTGGTGCAGTTAGAGGAGGAGAAAAAACATCTGCTGAGTTCACTACAGGAGTCACAGACAGAAGGAGAGAAGCTCCGCTCTCATGGAGAGGAGTGGGAGACAGAAAGAAACAGCCTGAGGACCCAAACTGAAGCTCTGGAAGAAGAAATAGAAGAGCTTAAAATACTCATAAAAACTACTGGGGACAAGATGGAGGTTTTGGAAAAAGAGAAGGAGGAGGACAGAGATCAGAAGCAGGCCTTGGAAAGATCCATCTCCTCTGTTATGGCAGAGAAAGAAGAGATCGAGGGAGAAAATGGACGACTTGTACAGGAAAAAGAAGAACTGCGCACAGCTCTTTTATCATTAGAACAAGAGAGAGATCAGCTGCGCTCCTCTCTGTTATCTGTAGAAGATGAAAAGGAGAGATTAGATCAGGGGAGAAGTGCGTTAGCCAGCGAGAGAGAAGAGCTTCAGTCGCGTCTCTCCTTGTTAGATAAAGAGAAGCACGACTTGCAGCAAAAGCTCTCTTTCTTAAATCAAGAGAAGGAGAGAGAGGAGGAGGAAAAGCAAAAGATAGAAGCTGAAAAACAGGAACTGAAGTCTTCTGTGTCTTTGATGGAAGAAGAGAAAAATAACCTGTCTTCAGCTCTGCTTTCACTGGAACAAGAGAAGGAGACACTCGCAGAAGAGCACGAGCATCTTAAGACAGCAGTGACCTCTATGGAGAAGGAGCTGGAAACACACAAAGTGTCCGTCTCACAACTCAGTGAACAGGTATATGGAGAGAAATACCCAGATTTATTTAGGTCACAATAAAATGGAAGAAAAAAGGACTGGTAGTACTCACTGTATGTTCCTTGTTTAGAGGTTGAAACACTCTAAAATTAGGTGTGGGGCTCGATTAAAATAATTAATCGAATTAATTAGAGGCTTTGTAATTAATTAGTCATATTTAATCGCACAAGAAAATTTGCCCCAAAGCGCAAATGTTATTGTAATTTTAAAGGGTTTTTAATGGGAAACAGAATGAATAATAGACATGGACGTGAATATTGTAAACTCAAGCTCTTTTAATTTATGGGGAAAAAAGCATTTAAACTGCATTTCACTGCAAAACTGAGAAAAAACCCATCCCTGGCCAAAATTTAGCAGACTTAAAAATAAAGTGTTATTTTTAGTACATTTTCAAAATGGTATTGTCTTTAAATAATAATATTAATTTCAACATAAAGTGCAGTTTTTCTTAACAAAACAGCACAGAAACATAAAAGCTTATTTGAACAGCTTTACCTTTTAAACTCTGAGTAATCTTAGAAAAATATTTTGTACATTAGGCTAAAACAGTGATCATCCTCTAACATTTTAGTGCAAAAAATTACAAACTTATTGGACTCACAATATGCTTATTAAATGTCCGTCTCTTTCAGCCAGTTACTTAGACAAACTAGCTTGTTCACACTTTCAGAGCTCAAGGCAGCTCTCTTTTTTGTTACTATTTGACCTGCAAGTAAGAACAGTCTGTCACATGGGACAGAAGTGGCAGGACTAATCAAATATGTGCAGGCCAGGACAGACAGCTGTGGGTGGGTCCCTGATCGACTGGACCACCACTGCAGCGGGGAGTCTGTCTC